TGCCATTTTTGGGTTTCTGGTTTGCTGGTTTTAAGATTTAGTTTGGGCTAGAGAGGAGGTCTTTTGTTCCCCTTTTTGTTCTTCTGGGTTCTTGCTGTGTTGTGGTCTGTTTTAGATTTTTGGTTGTTTTGGAGGAGTTATTTTGTTCCTCTTTATGCTTTTCTGGTTAGCTAGTTGGTATTCTTTGGTTTCCTCTTGATTTTTTCTGTTGGGTACTGCTGTTTTAGCCCATTGGGTTATATTGGGTTTTTGTAGAGAATTAAATTTGCTCTAATCCATAAGCTTAAGCTTGTAGGTTCATCAGTGTTTAATCATGTTTGATATGGTATCAGAGCAAGAAGTTTTGTATTCAAACCTCTACATCGTCATTTCCTCTTCATTTATTATTGATTTTCACTTTTTGTGCTTTCTGCAGATTTCTAAGCCCACAAGTGAAGAGAAGTGTTAGATATCCTATTAATGAATTAAATTTGTCCTTATCCATAGGCTTAAGCTTTTGGGTTCATTGGTTGTTTTAATCATGTTTAGCAATTTTACTCTTCCTTTTGGAGGTTGTTTTGTTGAACGTTTTATTTTTGTATCTTTTCATCTATCAATGAAAACTTGATAAGTTGTTTCTGGTTATTAAAAAAAAAACCTGAAAACTGAATTCATGCTTCATTAAAACTAAAAGAGGTAGGTTGCAATTATTTGAATGCCATCTCTTCCCTTGATCAAGTAAAGAAAATTTAAATCAGTACCTCAGTAACTCTTATTTGTTTCTGGATTCAGGTTGTCAATAATGTCATTTCATTTAGAAACATCTGTGAGTGGTTGCAAAAAGATGCCCTTGAGCAGCTTATGGAATTTTCATCCAATCTTTTCAAAATCTTGCTTGGTGCTGAGCAATCGCCAATAGAAGGGACATTAGTTAATCCAATTCTGCAGATAATAACATCCGTGCTCAGAATATCACAGAAGAGAAAAATTTACCAGCCCCATTATACATTGTCAATTGAAGGCCTGTTTAACGTTTATCAGGCTGTTCACAGATTAGATTGTGCAGGGTTGGGTCCCAATTCAGCTGGTGGACTCAAAGTGATACTCATGAACATGCCACAAATAACACTTTTACGCATGGTATCTCTCTCT